ACACACACACACACACACACACACACACACACACACAGTGCACAGCACAGCACATGTACTTCTTGACAAATAAAAAGGCAAGCATGTATTTTAATTCAGTACAATGTAAATCGGTTCAACCCTGCGTCTCGCACAAGGGACGAGGCTATGCGTCATGCTTTGATTGTGCCGTGCTCCTGTGTGTATGCGTGTAGAACGAAACAGAAAAAAGAAATTGCACAGAACATGCAGCATTAAAGAGAAAAGGGCCTGGCTTAGCAAATCCTTGCTGAACTCTCCCCTTCACAAGAGGTCACAGTCATTGACGGAGCAGAGGTCCACAACGTAATCTGAATGCATTCCTTTGTAAATAGTGAACCCTCGCCGTGACGAGGTAAGCCTGTGAATCCAACTGATTATTAGCGCACCTGCAAGAAAAGGTGCGACGTGTTAAACTCGAGCATTTGCGCATCCCTTTGAGGGGTCATCCAGTCAAAGGTTCTTCCTGTGAAGAAGCTGCCGGACTCCATGGGGGCCATGCAGCTTGTAGACCCCAGGGGCGGGTAATTTGTTGGCAGAGGGACAGCTGAAAGATTTTATTTACTGCTGCGTTCTGTCGGGTGGCTTGGGGTAAGCGTTTGGTGGGAAGCTTTAGGGGTTACAGTCCTGGCCAGCGATGACAGAGAGAGGGGTGACTGCACACAGACTCAGGCTTCCTTTAGCAATGGAATATCTAGAGAAAAGAGATGAAGAAAGTATGATGCTGGGCACAGAAGTTAAGGTGATGCAAGAATTGTAATGCATCACAAAAAAAAAGGAAAAAAGAAAAAATTGACAAATGCACCAACGGTGTGTACTGTGTAGCTATTGTTTTTTTTTCTTAATTAAAAATGAAATTCACACATACAATGACTTGAATGCACATCTCCTGTAATGAATGTTTTAAATTTTTTTAAATATAAATTACAATTCATTTTGATAGTTTTGGGGGACCACAAAGTCAAAAATGTCAGGTGATACAACTGTCCTGATAAAATAATGAAGAAAAAAAAAAAAAATATATATATTTGAACCTTTTCATGACACAGCCAGGTACATGTTGTGGCCCAAAATATTTTGTTATAATATTTATGAATAAATAAATCTTTTTTTTTCAAATATCTAATTAGTAACCCATAAATGTTATGAATAAATATATTTGTTTAAATATATATATATACACACATATATATATATAGAGAGAGAGAAACACTTAAAAAAATAATAATAATACAATTAATAATAATTATAATTATTTATTCAATTTGAAATAATATACATTTTGCAGTTATATTGTGTTTTAAACCTAATCAGAGACTTGAGCTTGTTTGAAAAAAGTTTCATAAAAAAATTACATCATAACTAAGTCAAATACATTTGACAAGGTCAAGTTAGTTCAGATTGTAAAATATCATGTGGTGTGACAGCCCCTAGACATCGTTTTAATATTATTTATGGATCACTAATTAATATACTAATTAATAATCCGATTAAAAAAAGTAAAAAAAAAAGTAAAAAAGTAAAAATATTATAATATAGACAATCCGTTCAGTCTGTACTTCACATAAGCGCGTGACATGTGAGGGCTCACGCTCTTCAGAGACAATCACAGAATATGACAGAGCTCGTGTTTAAAAGCGAAACACACTGAATGAATAATTCACTGAAAACGCAACGCGAGTCTCTGTTCTCTCTGCAATCTCTGATGTAATCAGCCGGGTTTCCTTTATATTAGCGCTGTTTTGGACGGATTGTTTGAATGCATTTGCTTACTGGATCATTGGACTGAAAACTTTCCCGGAGTTTAGCAGCTTAAAATGATCTAATCGCAAGCAGAATAGCAAAATTGGGTTAAAGGGTTAGAATAGAAATTGTGCGTCAGTAATTTTGCGTTAATTGCGTCAAATTATTTTAACGCGTTAAGGATAGTAAAATTAATCGCATGCGTTAACGATGACAGCCCTAATACATATATATATATATATATATACATTTGCCACAAGTTTCCAAATTATTTTCTTTAAAAAGATTCCTTTATTTATCATGGACACTTAATGTTACATGTCATTAAACCACACATCACTTCTAGATTTGCAAGTGACTCACCATCACCATAATCTTCGGCAGAGGTGACTGAAAGCAAGCTGTGCTGATCGTTGCTCTCGCTGCTCTGCCTGCGGTGGAGAGGTGCAGCGGCACCAGGCTGCTCAGCAGCCCAGGAGGGAGAGGATGAGGAGGACGGAGAGGAGGAAGAGGGCACCTGGTGTACCAATACAGTCTCTGCGTGACATGAAGACACAGCAGTGGAGGTGGAGGGAAAACTGTAACTCGCCTGAGCCTGTTCGAGAGGTTCGTTCAAACCCTCGGCCTGAGGGCCCTCCGACAGCACGATCTGAACCCGGGACTCAGGAGGGGGCACAGAACTGCCGCCTGCGCCATACACTGCCTCTTCGTAGGAGGGCAGTGAGACCTGAACGCCCTCCACCATGATGGAGGTAGGCTGTCCTGACACACCCTGCTCCCGGCTGCTTTGAAAGAGAGATATGGGAATAAAAAATAAGGCTTAAACGGTATCAAATCTTGACCTGCCTGATCTGCGGCTAACATCACAGTGAGCTGATTACGCAACAGCAAATGATTGGAATAACAGCACCACAGAGGAGATGCCATATTTGTCCATGTCAAACAGTTTGAATTATGATTGCCTTTAAATCTGCACGCTACTAACATTAGTATATTACATTTATGTTCTCATATGCATGCTGTGGCACCAAAAAGTATTTGGACACTTAAGTTACATTTCAAAATGTATTTACAATGTCTTTGTATTGCATAATAAAATATCAAACTGAGTGCCATGTTCAAGCACAATGTTTAAAATTATAAAAATATATTGTTTAATCAGTTCAAAAATTTGGACACTTTCAGGTTGTCAGTTTTAGTAGAATATAGTAATATTTCTTATATACAGGTGCATCTCAATAAATTAGAATGTCGTGGAAAAGTTCAGTCTGTGTGCACTGAATTTATTTAATACACGAGTTTCACAATTTGAGTTGAATTACTGAAATGAACTTTTCCACGACATTCTAATTTATTGAAATGCACCTGTACATTACCGTTTAAAAGTTTGTAAGAAACGAACACTTTTATTTGGAAAGGATGCATTAAATTGATCAAATGTGACATTTATAAATTTTACAAAAGATTTTTATTTCAAATAATGGATGTTCTTTTAAAAAAGAATCCTGAAAAAACGTATCATGGTTTCCAAAAAAATATTAATTACCTCAACCATTTTCAACATTTATAATAATAAGAAATGTTTCATGAGCAGCAAATCACAGTATTTCACAATATTACTGTTTTTACTGCATTTTGATCAAATAAATGCAATGTTGGTGAATATAACAGACTTCTTTCAAAACCAAATAAATTGCTGCTGTTCCTTTAAGTGCTATGTAAACTCCCACTTTATGAGAATAAAACAAACGCCTGTGAAAAAGCTATGCTTAGTAAGAATGAGACAGAGCCTCACCGGCTGTGGTGGAAGGACTTGAGTTTGGGCTGAAGCAAAACAAACAGCACCACCAACAGCAGGATGAAGGCCACAGTGCTGGCAGTGGAGGCCACGATAGACAGAGCTGACATGGGCAGCGGGGATTGCTCCTCCCCTGGAAGAGAAATAACTTCAATAAAACTGATGAAAATGAAACCAAACAATCAGATTTAAATGATAACGAGTACTCAAGTTTTGTGAAGAAACGATACACACATCACCATCAATTTTCAAATCTCCCTAAACTTTTAACTCGCATCCAGTGACCGAGTATCCAAAACACTGAAATATGATTGTCTAACAAAAAATTATGGTTGATGTTTCAAAAGCTGCTTTCTGGGAAACTTCTGATGCTGTACTGAACTCATTTGAACAGCTTGTACATTTGGCTACACTGCTGTAATTTACCATGTGCAAAATGATTCTCTGTTCTCAACGTTTGTCAAGGAGGAGGAAAACTGTCCATATGTGACAAAATGGCAGAATATCCAGATGGCCGAGCTTGTGGATCAAGCTCCTGCTGCTGTGAGACGTACCTTGCACAGAGTGACAACTGATCTGCATGGGCAACTTCCACTCTCCGTTGTCACAAGTCCGGAAATGGTACCCTCCTTTCAGAATGTAACCCTCATCACAGAAGAACTCGATCACGGTACCCTGGGCCAGTCTGTGGCACGGCGAGGGGTGGCAGTTATATCCTCCGTTCTCTGGCTCACTCGGTGGTTGACAAACTGTTGGGGAAAAAGTTACAAGTCTGACAAAGAACTGTTTTTCTAATCAGAAACTCATAACCAGTTATTCTGACATGATGTGAATAGCAATCACATCCAACCTTCTTAGAACAAAATACAACTCCTGAGAAAACAGGAACAGAGGACACAGAGAGGGTTAATTTGAATGTACCATCATTTTTGATGCAGCGAGGTGGGTCAGAGGACCAGTGGCCTGAGACGGTACATGTGATGATGCTGTAGCCATCCAGCGTGTATCCTGGATCACAGCTGTACTGTAGCTGCGTGCCAATGGGGAAGGAGCCGCGGTTTGTTTCCGTCAGGTTCCCATGGCCATGAGGCACAAAGAAAGGTTAATTTAAAAAAAAAAAAAAAAAAAGAGCTAACTAGTTCAAATTTCCTTTGGGGCCTGTTACTGTTATAGTGTCCTTCAATACAACTCTGAAAACGAGTTATTTAATAATGACAAAAGAAGCGTAATGAAATCCTCATGAATTTGAAACAGAATCAAAGTTATTTAATACAAATCTTGGATTTCAACCGAAACGTACATGGATGACAGTGTTCAAGTGTGGTCAGATTAGCTAAATGTAAAAAAAACGTCAATAACCGACATAGCAATGTATAAAGCACAGCAGATACAGAAGTCATTTTTAAACCAATCAGCTCTCTGTTAGTCAGCACAGCAAATTCGTGCGTCCAACTTAAACATGAGCGAAATCAGCATGGGGAACTTTTTTGCCCTCACGCAAGACTCCTAATCGCATGGATTCCTACTGAAATGACTGGATTTTGTCTTTGAACATTCAACAAGCAACAGTAGCTAATTGTGACAGCACATTGAGGCTGGTTCAAAATGTTTTGAAGTACAAAATAAAAACAACCATGTGTTTTCATGGTTGATCATTTCTCTCACTTTCGATTACTTGGGAACTAACATTAGATAGACTCAAACCAACAACAACAGTTTCAGTGTGAAAGTGCCCTAAAATGTATTTGCACTAACTCTAAAATTTATTATGTGTCAAAGAGAAAAAGGGGACACAAGCAGATCTTATTCTCATATTGCTGTCTGGTATTATATTCCTCCTCAATTTAACAAAAACTTCACCCAGATCACACACGTAATGTCCAGCCTTGAGATGGATAACAGAATACTACATTTCTGCCCTTGGGTTTAATGGCATAAAGCCAGTGGTGTCTCTTTCCCCTCTCATATTCTTCTTCTTTCTCATATGGGAAAAAGAAAAAAAAAACCCTGAGCTTCATTCACACAGCAGATCACTTGAAACACGTAAACATGTCTATCACCTCATTACATTAATCCAGCAGAAAGAAAGAAAACAACTCAAACAAACAGGGTATGTTTGGACAGACCCCCTTGATCACTGGGTTTTCTAATCTGAGCTTTTAACATGCTCTTAAACTGCGATCAGCCGATTATGGACTCATAAAAGGATGGGCATACAGCTCTATCTCTTCTGTTCTGACACCAGACAAACAGTCAGGATATGAACCACAGATGCAGAGCTTCACAATCCATTATATAAAACGTACAACATCTGTAAGAGGTTGATTTTTTTTGGTTGGAGTCTACGATCTGTATTTTAATGCACTTTTTCTCATGAAGTCATGAGCTGACAATAAAGATGACAAAAAAATTGCAAACCTCATCTACATTGTTTTGCCTCCGGTCTAAATGAAACTGGATCATGTTTTTCTTCCTTGTCATTTAATTGTTAGTTTGTGCGTCACTGAAAGGTAGGATCAATCAGGAAAACGAAAGAATCGCAGACTTGCGGAAGAGCATTTGTTAATAACAGCTGCCCAGACCTGCTATGACAAGTTAGACTGGGCCTTCACAACATCTAAAACTGATTGCACACTTGACAATAGATACCTATCTTAGGAGTACCACATGGGACAGGTTATGTGTCAGAAAACATAATGTCCAAAAATATGTACTAAGGTTCCGACTGAAATTCCAATTAACCTGTTTGGCTGGCAGAAGTTTCATAAGAAACTAGGTTAATTTTGTCTACCTCGAATAGCAGATAACATTTACCACAAACAATTTCCTAATGCGCCCTTAACTGGATCCTTGACCTACTCTACTTAAAACTAATAATCTGAATTACATACAACTCGTTTAGATAATGAGAAGTTTAACATTTGGAGAGATGGTGTTCACCCTCCAACTGTCCACAATGCAGCACGCAGAAGAAAAAAAATGAAGGGATTTACAGCAGAATGAAATTCTAATTATCCTTCATTACAAATGGCTGTGGTCTAAAGCGGATCACATTACTGACCACTGCAGTGTGCAGCTGCTCAGTGAGACCAAAACCCAGCGGCCCAGCCGTGGATTAGACCCTGCTGTCTCAAAAAAATCCTCCTTTGTAAATATGTTTTTGTTGGAGATCTCCTTATTACATGGGATGATGTGTTTTTCCATCTCTATTGTTTTTCCCTTATCTCTCCTAATTCAAATCCCTGAGATTGTAAGCAAGCTGTCAGAAAATGGCAGAAAGGGGATTTGTTCCTCTCTCCCATTTATGGAATTTGTAGAAATGGAGGAGGGTACATGTGGGCGCATCGCTCACTGATATGAATCTAAATTAGGAATGGGCAGTATGACCAAAATCTTACAGCATGATGAATTTTATAAATAACAATAACCGTATATCATGACATATTTTTACTGGAAACACAGCTACAAAATATTTTATAATTACATAATAATGTGGTAATGTCTATTTCTGATCCTCAAGTGACTTTAGTAAAAAAAAAAAAAAAAACTTTTTCAGTTCTTTTTTTTTTGTTACGTGAAATAAGAACAAAAACCATCACTGTGAAAAACTAAAACTAAGCTATTTCCTTGATACCAAACTAAAATCAAATCAAATAAAAACAATTTCAGTTACATTATACGATCTTTACAACCTGCCTACATTTAGCTTGAAAATGTTAATTTTGTTAATTAAATTTGTTATAAACTTTTAAATTATACCATTATAACTTTGGAAGCCATAAAAAAGCTACAACTAAAATTAAAATTAAACAAACAAAAAGTAAATAAATAAAACAACAACAAAATTATAAAACAAAAACGAACTAAAAAAAATCAGTTTTTATTAAATAGAAATAAAAACAAATTAAAAACTATTAAAACCCTGCACAAGGTTTTTACCATATGCATACAGCAAAACAAAATTACTAATATTGACGTAGTTTTTTTAATGTCCCTTAAAGAAATGTCTTATGCTTACCAAGGCAGCATTTATTTGATGAAAATAACAATAAAAACAGTAATATTGTGAAATATTTTTACAATTTACAATAACTGTTTTCTATTTTAATATATTTTAAATGTAATTTACTCCTCTAATGGCAAAGCTGAATTTTCAGCAGCCATTCAGTCTTCAGAAATCATTCTAATAAGCTGATTTGGTGCTCAACAACAGTTCTTATTATCAATGTTGAAAACAGTTGTTCTGCTTAATATTTTGTAGAAGAGATTCTCTGATGAACAAAAAGTAAAAAAGCAGCATTTATTTAATAAATTTATATATAAAAATATTTTCTACCATTATAAATGTTGCTTTTGATAAATTTAAAGCATCCTTTCTGAATAAAAGTTTTAAAGGGGTCATATGATGTTGCTAAAAAAAAACATTATTTTGACCGTTAAGTAACTTGTGCATTGTTTTACTTACTTGTTTTTTACATATCCGCTCGAACTACAAACTTTCCAGTGATGTCTGTGAGAAAGGCATATTCACTCGACAAGCTCGCGCGTCTGCGCGCTCAATCCACTCAGCGTGCTTTGTTTATCAGCTCGCGCACATCAGCTATACAGGCGTTAATACTGAATGTTTAACGTTATATTCATTGCATACATATACTTCGTAGTAGACATCCTTAACTCCATTCTGCTGTCTGTTGTTCTGTTGTAGGTGTTTCTTTGTTTGAATATGGCGCTTATCACATGCTGTGTGGTATCGGCGTTTGGTATCGGGGCATTTTAACGAGTACGAGTACAGGAGCTCAGTATCGGGCCCGATACCGATACCAATATCGGTGCATCCCTAATTAAAACCCATTATAAATGAGGCATTTATTGCATCCAGTGGGGACATAATTACTGATTATAATGACTTATACTGTCTTTTTACGTGTTGCGTTGCATCGCGCCGCGTAAACATAAAACCATGTCTGCATTTGTGATCGGAGAAATACTCTCTACACTGCTTAAAACTTGCGTTTGAATCATCAGTGGCAAATTCTTTAAATATAAAAAATGTACTTACAGTCTGTGAGTCAGAACAGCTGGCATTGTAGTCTACCAGGATCAGGAAACAGTCCTCCATAAAATGTGCTGCACACATCTGAATATTTGGGTTGAACTGTTCCGGAACAGTGTTGTAAATACAACTTAACCACTGCTTTCTAGCCGTGTCCTCTTTTGGAAGGCCAAACAAAGTGGTTTCACTTTCGCAACGAAACACACAGAGTCTTCACAACATGGCGGCGGTGGTGGCAGCAACAATAAATTTACGCCTTCTTTCTTTGTGTGAACATTTGGGCGGCGTTATGCAAATATTCCCACATCGTGACGTAGACATGTTGGGGGCGTGTTTAAACGAGGCGTTTTAGGAGGGCGTGGACCAGTCTTAAATTTTATAAAGAATATCTCTTTGGGTTTGAGACTTTAGTCTTTGCAACTTTAGGAATCTTATCTATTCACGAACAGCTTGTAACACTCCAAAGAGAAAGGAAAACTTGAAATCGCATCATATGACCCCTTTAATAATAAAAAAAATCTTTCTGACACTGAACTTTTGAACAGTAGAAAATCAGTATAGCAAAATCTATACCAGCTGACACATTTCTACAGTCATAATGCTCTGCTCTAACCTCACACAGTGATTCATTCATAACAGATGTTTGTTCATTGAATTCTTAATACAGTTACCACCAAAGCCCACTTCACAAACCTCCTGAGATATCCAGTGGTGTTGGCCAGCGTGTTTATTGCACTGCAAGTTTTGATGTTGTTGATGAAACAAGCGCACCACATATGAGACCCACCCGTGACATAACATATCTTGAATGGCTCTCAAAGGGCTAATAACAGTATGTGGTTTCCTTCTTGTAAGAAAA